GACACCCTGCCCCATCTCTTTCCATTTTTGGAAGCACTCCCTTATATACACTTACTTCTATATATGACATGAATAACCAATTGGAAGCTCAGGACATCCCCCTAGTGGCTTTCTCAGCCATTTTAACAGGCTTGGATGCCATTTCTTTCCTTTGAACCAATATTTCAGGGAGGTAGGGTGTGTCTTTAGTCTTCTCAAAATTTCATATTTCTTTAGACTAAAATACATCTTAGTTACTAAGTTTGATAAATTATAGTGGAATTCCATGGTAATGATATTGTAATTTATGATTTTTTAGTTATTCAAATATATATATTTAAAACTTAAAACATTTTTATTTTGTTTCATATCCTCCACAAGCAAAATTTTTAAAGGCTTAGCAACTACACCAAGCAGCAACCTCGTACAAAAGTCGTAACTAAAAGAGATAATTGTTTGCTTTACTTCTTTATTTGCTGTTCTATGTTTTAATTAAACTAAGTTTAAGAACTTATTTGTAAATAGTAATAATGTATAATTATTGAAATGTGACTATTTTACAAAATACTAGTCTACTAAAACACATCCAAGAAAAGTTACTTTGTACACACTAAAGGTCAGTTTTATATTATTTGACACGGTAACTTGAGTGCACATGTGCTGTATCATTGAATTTCTGTATTGTTAGCCAGGCATGGCTGAAAGGTCAATATAATAAAAATAATAAATATATATAAATGTATAATGTTATGAGATTTAAGGTACTTAGTCTAAACATTTATGTTTTCATGTGATAATTTGTGTTCATTCTAGAATGAAAGAGGCATAATTTATATTTATTTCCTAATTTTTATGGTGATTAGGCGATCGGTCAAATCTACCGAATCCGTTCAGAGATTCATTATTGAAAATAACAGATAAAATATAAAGATTTTACTTAAGAAACATTTGATAAATATCTGGACATTATAAATATTTCACATGTGAAATTTGAAAATTTTCTGATGCATAAAAGTATTTTTAATCTTAAAATGAAAATTATTTTGCATGTTAGATAGGCAACATGTGAAAAGAAAAAAATGGTATGAGAAAAACATTGCTTTACAAACCTTAAGACTTGATAAAAAAAATTTGATATTTTGCGTATGAAAGCATTATAATGTTTACTGATAATGTGCCAAATTTCATTAATATTCTCTTACTAATTTAAAAGTTGTAGCATGTAAACTATAACAAGCACAAAATGGTTTTGAGGTTTTTCCCAGGGTCCAAGCCCGTGCTGAAAGTGTTAAATGTCTTGTGCTTTTAACTTTCCATGGACATCAAGGATCTTAAATAACAGAATTTTTTCAGTCAGCAAACTGATTTATTAGTCTAGAAGAATATTATATGTGCTTTGTAGTATGTATCTCCTATGTCTGGTTTCAAGGTAACAATACCAATATTTTGGTGTGGCTCCGTCAGATTAGATTTTAGCTATATAGGATAACTCTCTGGAAGCCACTATGAAAAGTTTATTTGAAAGGTTACATGAATTTGTCCTTCATTCTCAATTGCTTGAGCTGGATAACAATCTGGGGGAACCTGAGTGAAATAACAGAATAACTGTAGTCATTTAGGCCAAAAAATGATGCTGTACTATGTTAAAACAGTATTTGTTAAGATTTTATAAAATACTTCTGAGCAGAAAAAGGTAGATAAAGTGAGATATTATTCTTTTTGTCATTAAATTTGAAATGAGGTATGTCACTGAAGGTCTTCTTTCATTTCAGGCTGCTGATGTACTGTTTTGTAGGTGATCATTTCATGATACCTTCTGATCCTCTCGGAAAAGATGGTCACCTGGATGAATTTTTATCTTTTTCTTGAACTACTACCATAGGTATATACTCTTAATGCAATTTATATTAACCTTTTATTGATGCTACTATATTCATAAAATGAAGTAAAATTTTAAGGTCACTTTGTAACACCACCTGTGTTTATGTGTTTTTGTATATTCTTTTCTGTGTATGTTTTTATACACTTGTGCCGTTTGGTGAAGCTACAAATTTTGGGTTCCCCTACTCTTTTAACTCTCCTGTGTTTCACAGTTTTTAGGCTTATTTTAGAATATTTTTATGAAGGACAAATAAGGAGATATAAAATATACTATCTCTTTTAAATGGGTGAGATTACAGATATCTTTCATATATTACATTCAGTTTGATCTGATATAGATGTATGAAAAGGTGATAACTATTACACTAATCTGCTTTTTTTCATTCCTTCTTGGTGATTAATTTTGGAAATTATTAATTTCATAACTTATTTTTTTATGTAATGGAAATGGAGAATTTGTTTTCACTTACAAAGAAAAAAGGATGGGGAATTGTATATTTGTAAATATATTTCATAATCCATATCTATTTGTCAAGAATATTTAATATTTTGATATGTAATAGTTTTTATTTTCATTTGTAATGTTAAATTTCCAACACTCAATGAATTCAAATGTTGAATCTTAGTTTCTGCTAGGGTTTGAAAGTATTGTTCCTGCTAAGTTGGTCAGTGTTCAGCTATAAAGTGGATGTTGGATCATTATCTAGTTATTTGAAATTTTCATAATAATAAATGTTTTTGTTACTGAAACAAATCTGTATATGCTTCTAAAATTTAAGTGATGGAGATGAGTATGTGAATTATTATTTTGAACAAGTAATGGAGCACATTCTTTTATTAATTGTCAAATTGTGTTTGACCGTAGTTTGCAGTATACTGATGTTCAACAGATGATCCTGAAGTATCTACAAAAATGAATATTCTGGAAATGTTGTGTAAGTTAATATTTAAAGATGTCAGACAGTTAAAAACACAATACATTTGTATTTATATTTAAGTGCTGTAGAAATATAAGTTAAAAACTTCAGCAAAAGCATTTTTCAAAAAGTTGCCTTCAACCTGGCCCTACAAGCTTCCAAAGTTAGTGCAACAGTTAGACTTTGCATCTGCTTGGTTGTAAAATTGAGGTAACATCAGCCAAATTACACAAGGCCAGTCATGGTCAGATTGCTCTCTCTGTATGTAAAACTGTTGGTTTGTTTACGTGAAAACATTTTTATTTTCTGGACAAATTTAATTTGACAGATGTCGTGAATACAGTTATTTGTGAGTAAGTTGTTTCAGGATGTAAACAATTATGGTTCCCAAGGAAAAGGAGGTATCTCTGCACGAGTTTACACCTCAGTCAGACAGGAAACGGCACATGGCCTGGATAATGTTTGTATAAAGAACTTGTGATAAATGGAGTCCAACCCAAAAGCTGCCACATATGCAGTTAATACTTTTTGGAATCAGACTTGAAAATTAAACTACAACTTAATATTGGATTTGCAAAAACACTGGCACTAAAGAAAGATACAGTGCCCAGTATGTATCCAAAGTTTGAAGGAGATCCCTCATACCAGTGGCACATCAGGCTCTTGTTCACAGACCAATAATGGTGATAATAGTCATGTTCAATCAACCGTTTGAAAACGAGAAGCATACAGGGTAAGCTCAAATTTTAGCTATTGTTTTAAGTGCAATATAGAATTGTCAGAAATCATTCAGGTCTTATAAACACACCAGTAGATCTGCTACAACAAAAAATGTTTATGAAAGTTAACTTTCAGATATTATTTCCTAAAAAGAGCATGAACAAACAATTGTCTGTTTTATTTACTTATTTTTAATGTGTCTAACACTTTTTAATGAAATTTCATTTGAGATGTCAATATGCAACATAAAAAATGCTAGATCTACAATATCAATTATTGAAATATGACCTCAGCTATGTTTGCTTTTCCAGTCTTAATGTATACTTAGTCATATGCATACAAATCAAGATTTCTAATTTGAAAACAAATTCTAGATGAAAAATTATTTTTTGAAATGGTTGTCATGAAAGCAGTAAAACTATTTATGTAATTAATATATTAATGTTTTATAATTAGACACATTCCTAGTGAATGTAATCAAGTGTATATTTTTGAATGAAGATATTACAACAAATAGGATACAATCAGAATTATTTATACAATTTTTGAGTTTTATGCTTAAATGGTAGGAAATAAGAATACTATAAAAGTTTTTTTTTGACGGAATCATTAACTCTCTGACAATTGGGATTTGTTCAACCATGTATATAAATAAACTGCAGTATAATCATTTGTATATCTGATAACTTGGCAAATTGGTTATTGTGCTGGATTGTGGTTCTGAGGGTTCATGGTTTGTAATCTAGTTGCTGTTGCAAAATTGCTCCTACACTCTGGAACCATGGGTGTGTTATAAGAATGATTGTAAAATTCCATTATTCAGCTAGAGAAGCCCAAGATTTAATGGTTAACGCTGTTGACAAGCTGCTTTCCCTCTTGTCTTACCAATTCAAAATTAGAGATGACTAGCGTAGGTGATTCTTGCTTTGCATGAATATCCAAAATCCACTTCACAGATAAGGTTGTTTCAAGAATGTAAATATAAATTTTCGACAAGTCTAACAAGTAAATTTGATATATAAGAAAACAGGAAATATATAACTACTGAAAGATAAACTACCATTTTTAAATCATACAGGACCTTATTATGTGTATTAAGTTTGGAAGAGGGAAATGTTTTTTTAGTAATATTTCATACAAAGATATTAATATGACAATGTATGACAACAAAATCCTTGTTTTCTGTGAAGATGATACCAGTACATAATACTTGTTCTGATCATTTTTTGCATTACTTCTTTCAGATATTGGATGGCTGGAAAGATAAACTGTTAGATGAAAACAAAAAAAATGGTCAAGCCTCCAGTAAAATGGTCAAGCCTCTTTAAGTAAAACCAAAATGTATTTTTCTCATCAGACTGTTTGGTTACAAATATTAAACTTTACTGTACATATTTAAACTCTCAGAAAATACCTGTTGTCATGTTTTTGGTGAAGAGCATTTGATTTTTAAAATGTCTGGTTTTCAAATGTGGGAATAGTTTACCTGCCAAACAGTTAGACATATTTGATAACAAAACATACATAAACTACAAAAATTGTTTAAAAAATATGTATTTCAAAAATACCAACATTGGATATTGACCACAGGTACTTTGATACGCCTGATTTTTCTTAAGATGTTGATTTTTGTGAATATGAAATAAGGCTATATATTGAATCTATGTAAGATAACTTCTTATAAATAATGTTATTTAAGTTTTAAAACATGTATTTAGTTATTTGTAGCATAAGCATATACAATTTGAGGTTTTTCAGTATTGTACCCAGTTCTGTGTAATTTCCTTTTACATATCCATAAATCAAACTCTTATGGCAAATGGAAGTATATAGTTGAATTACTTAAAATTATTGTCCTTTTTATTGCTGATTTTTGAATTTTTTATAGGCTGTATATTATTTTTTAGTTAAATATAATTTCCTTTTATTGTGTTTTACATAGTTGTATTTTTTAAGGAAGTTTTGTTATTTTATGTTTCTCATTTACATTTTGATGACAATTACATGACAGTATGTAACTTTATAACTAGAATTCCAATTCTCTACCTAAATACATATAATTTAAAAGTATATAATATTACTGTTAAGATTTATGTCTTAAAAATGCTAATTAAGAATTTCAATACCTTAATACTTGAGAGAACAAATGTAATCATAAGTAAAGCAATTGATAACCCTTTACATGACCAGGATTTTTCATAGCCTGCTTTTACTATAGTTATGTGTTTTTACACATGTACTAATATATATTGAGTTTAACAAATTGAAGACAATTCTTGTACCACTCACAAAACATAATCCTTGACTTTTCATCAACTTTCAGGGATCTCTCAGGATTTTTTTAGCTACATTTCTGGTACACAAGGCAGAAGAGAAATTTCATCTTTCCAAAAAAATCTGCATCTTATTATTATTTTGTTACAAATTGGCAACTGCGACATTAATTTTTTGACCTGGATCTCTAAGTGAGACATACCCATGCTTCAGAAATAGCTGTCATTACTGCTGTTCAGGCAAAGTCTCACCTCCTTCCAAACCTATTCACGTGCTCTCATTCTTTACTAGTTTCCTATTTTTATAATGTAATTACTTTGGATTAAAGAAAATTCCTGACACTTTTAAAGGATATCTCTAACTATTTTCTTTAACAAAAGCTATTTTGTGGTAGATCACTGCTCATTTTAAATTTAAAAGATAAAAATGAAAAAAACTTGTTCTAATAGCCCTAATATAGTACTTTATTTTGTATTGTAATAGTTCACTGTATCTGTGTGAAAAAAAATCTCCTTCTCTTTTGTAATTCAATGCATTGATCTTGGATCATTCAAGACTGATAATAATGAATTCTTACTGTTAGTTTGGGGTAAGATGTGACTGATATTTGAAGTAAGTATGATTTTAGGTGGAAAACCCATGTCCAAACAGAGCTGTGATATTGGCTTATATGACAAAATGGGGGAAATTGGTTTCAGTAATCAGTATTCAGAGGGGTTTAGTGCTCTCTGAAAATGTTGAGAGATTGCCCTGGTTTTTCAAGGATCATATTATTGCAAGAAAACCAGTCTTCAAGTTATGTCATCCACAAGTTAAGTAAACCTATTTTGTCATTCATTGTAGTGGGTGTGCTATGTTTAGTAACCGGTAGCTCAGCTAATCCATGATTTCATTGTTGGTTGATGTCATTGTGAGGGGTATTTCCAGCATTGAAGATTTACTCAAAACAGTGGAGTGTGTCTATATCAATGTCAGGACATAAATGCAAAACATTGGTTCACAATGAATTCTGCTCCCATCATTTCATAACTCTTAACATTGACTAGTCTACTGATAGTCAGATTTGTTGTGTTTTCTGTCCTGCTGGTAGTAGCAAAGAATTCCTTTACTGATTTTACCAGTGGCCTTCTAACTGTATATCTAATTGATTCCTCATCTTTTACATTTCCTAGCAACACCATAAGGAACTTTGTATTCTGTCAGTCTCATTCTCTTTGAATGCTGATAAAGACCTCTCTTGGTTGTTGTTTTGCCTTGTGCAGAGAGGGTCCACGCACTTCCAGTGAAATTGTGCTTCTCTTTGGAGTTTCCTCATTTAGATTTACCTCTGCATGGTCTGGCACTTAATCTAAGTTGTGTCTTTTCTTTCTGATATCCATCTGGGGACCAACCACTCTGAATCCTATGCAATATTGCTTATGAGTCAGTCACAGATATATATTGGTGGAATTGTGGGTTTGAGGTTCATTACTTTCAACAGTTCAAAGGAAAGCTTGCTTTATAGCTTGTAGGAAATGAATTCTCTATCAGCTTTTTGCAGAATGGTGTTTCTCAACGAGACAGTGAATTTCCAACCAGCTTACTCATTATCTGTGATATAAGTACCATTTCTGGCTATGATGAAATGTGACTGTCCATCTTGATTTTTAAATAGGGGCTGAGAGGCTTTTTCTGCTTTATTTTCTTGTCATTGTTAATATTTTATGTCTTGGTTTATTTCCACATATCTCATTATGCCAGATGTTTATTTCATATAAGGATATCTGAAATCTGGTGGTGACCAGTCATCCCAGTGAGATCAACCAGGTATTATACAATTGTTTTATAGGCCCTTGGATGACTCTTAAGATTAGTGTTATCTGCCTGGAATGTTTGGCAAAGTCTATCCATGATGGGAAGAACATCCAGAAGCATCATGTTTGTGCTCACAAACTGAAATACGAGAAGACTCTTCCAAGTTGTCCCTATCATCCAGTATCTTCTTCGGTTTCCACAGATGCTCACATCTAAAAATATTAGATGTTCTTTTCTGTATACCTGTAATCTGAAATGTTTTCAATTGGTTTTAATGCAATTGATGATGGTAGCATTACTATGTGAACAGCAAAATGCACATTGGTCATTCAAGATTGTTGTTGTTTTTTCTCATATTGTTAGTTTGACATGACTTAATATGTCCAAGCTTAATTTTACTCCATCAGAGTCAAAACCCAGAACTTTTGCCAGAGAAACATTCAATTAACTTAAAAAAGTGAAAATTTTGTTTGTAATGTTTCTGCCTTGCCATTTGTGTTAATCAGATTTGGTGCTATGAACAGTTATGTTACATATGTTTTCAAGTAATTATAGTCCTATTGGTCTTACATCAGTGGTGGGAAATGTTTTTAGAAGTCTGACAAAAGATACTTTGCAAATTCATTTAACACTGTGCACAGGTGGATGTACAAATGCACATTCCACGACCTTTTATAGTGTGTCATTCAACATGGCAGTCATTGTTTCAACATTTGGATGATGATGTGATAAAATTATAATGGTCTATTTAAATAATTTGTCAGAAATATGGAAGTAGTAGCACAATATACTTGATAATCATAAAAAATGTTTCTTTTATGTGTGTCATATTCATCATGAAAAGTCACTGGATAAGAATAATTCTAATTTTACTTAACAATAAACACCGATGGCACAACAAACCTGTCAGATTAAAATAATATTGGGTTCTGTAAGATGTTGAGA